TCACTCCAGAAGGAGAAGACAAGGTGTCATAAAATAGAAAGCAACATTGCCTAACAGAAGAACTCATCTGTGAATCCAAGAAGCTTCTCATCTTTACCATCAATTCATCTAAAGCTTGGACAGAACTAGCATGCAGAACTGAAGGCAGATGAAACTTATCTCTGATCCTGTAGGCTTACATGCACTGGAATCCAACTTGAACTGTGATATTTTCATCTTTTCTTCCAGAGAAACACAGAATTCCTGCTCTGAGCCTAAAGAAGTTAGTATTTTTTAATTTTGAGATAAAAATAAGAATTCACAGGTCCACGATAAAGCAGGGTAAAAATAACAAAACATTGCCCTTTATTTTTGAAATAGTATATTCACATAAAATAATGTATCCTTATCCTGTCTCCTTTCCCCAAACAAAGATGAATTTTTATTTCCTAACCTCTTTAATCCACAACATCAAGGACAGGGTTTTAGTATAACAACACAGATAGCAGGAAAATTCCTTCRGCTGTTGTTCTAAATAGCATGTTGCACTAAAAGGCTAATTTYAAAGGATAAGTCTTGTCATAGACTAAATCACCTCTCTTGTTTCCTAAGGATTACTGCAATTAGAATGGCAACATCATTAGCTAGAAAAACTCTATTTTACCAACGGTTATGAACGGAATAGATGTATATCTATACAGTTAAAGTCAAGCATCTGTGCTGAAGCCAAGCAGATACAGTGACCAGTRAAAAACTGCAAGAGAAATATGGACTCCCTTGCAGTTGGAAGCATTTTATAAAACTGATGTGTATGAAAATACAATTACAATGGACAGCAGTTATCCTTTAAACAAAAACATTACAAGAAAAGAAAAGGTGACACCTGTACCCATTTGTTGCAAAGGAGCAGTGGTTGTGTGCAAATTCCTAAGGCTAAGCCTCTCCAGTACGATTCCCGTTTGCTTACACAGCCCAGCCAGCCAGACCCCGGTGACTTTGTAGGGGCTCTGTYAGCAAGAGCTGAGTTCCAGCTCAGCAAATCCTGACAAGTTACTGAAGGCAGAGCTTCACTCACCCTGCCTGGACTCAAGGGAGAGCACAGCCTTCCCCTCCAAGCTTCTGCTTTGGAGCCTATGTGAAAGCAAGGTGGTGATCAGCTGTGGTGGAGGTCCCAGCGTGCTCCTTACAACTGCCAGGCCCTGGTGCCTGGCCAAAAGCCAAGCTCAGATGTGAACTCCTTTTCTTACTCCAATTTCCTCCAGTGTTTGAAGGGTGTAGCAGACTCACTTCATGCTTCACACTGTAATRTCCGAAAGCGTGTTCAAGTAGCTGAACCCCTCGAACTGCTCACCATGACCAAATGAGAGATCTTGGCCACCTTTTCATTCCCTCTSTTCCACTCTTTTTCCTCAGTTTTTGCTCCTGATCTTGGATCCTGTTCCTTACTTTTCTTGACTTGGCAATGATGACCCCTCTGCAAGTATAGTTGAATCCAACAAAAGAGAGAGGGGAAAAATACTGCAAAAACYCCCCAAACTAAGAAACCCCAACACACATCCCAAAGCACATTAATCTCGATATTCTGCGGGGAGTCTAGTCACATTCACTTGATAAATAGTTGCTTTTCATAGAAACATTGTGTGTCTGATAGCGATAACATCAAGTTTATTTCTTCTTTAATTTCAAGCCAGCAGAAAGAAATTACACTGAGCCCAAACAGGCTCAAAATTCTTTAACAGTATTGTAGTGCCCCAATGAAAAGCTTGTAAAAATAAAYCCTGACATTGCTTCCATACAATAAAGATTTTTTTTTTTAAGACACTGTACCTCCATTGAATTCAATAGTCATCTACAATTGAACAACARAAAGATATGCATAAATTCAAAGCAATTCCATTGCTTCGATGCTTCTATTTAGTGCCGTAAGAGAAGCAAGATGTTAAAGCAAAGYAACATTTATGTCAGAAATTTTATTTGGACGGACTTTGCTACTTTTGCTACTGGCTATTTACATTGCCAGTTTTACTAAAATGAACAAGGCATAAATGTAACTRCAGCTTACTTTCTTAACACAGAAATACATGATTAGTCAAAAATCCACCCAGAAGTGACTTCTGGAAAATTGGGAATACATACTTCAGTGGTTGTTTAGGAGAAGGACTGTTA